GGTCCATACTGGTTTATACTGGGGCGTACCGGTCCATACCGGTCCGTACTGGTTTATACTGGTCCGTACTGGTCCATACCGGTCCGTACTGGTTTATACTGGTTTATACTCGTTTATACTGGTCCGTACCGGTCCATACTGGTTTATACTGGTCCGTACCGGTCCATAGTGGTCCATACTGGTTCATACCGGTCCGTACTGGTTTATAATGGTCCATACTGGTTTATACTGGTCCGTACCGGTCCGTACCGGTCCGTACTGGTTTGCAATGGTCCATACTGGTTTATACTGGTCCGTACCGGTCCGTACTGGTTTATACTGGTCCGTACCGGTCCATACCGGTCCGTACTGGTTTATAATGGTCCATACTGGTTTATACTGGTCCGTACCGGTCCATACCGGTCCGTACTGGTCCATACTGGTCCATACTGGTTTATACTGGTCCGTACTGGCAGGGCACGCTGGAGGACGGCACGCCCTTCGACAGCAGCCTGAGCCGGGAGCAGCCGTTCGTGTTCTCACTGGGCACCGGACAGGTCATCAAGGGCTGGGACCAGGGCCTGCTGGGGTGAGTGACCACTGACCAACTGACCACTGACCAACTGACCACTGACCACTGAGTGACCACTGAGTGACCACTGAGTGACCACTGACCACTGAGTGACCCTGAGTGACCCTGAGTGACCCTGAGTGACCCTGAGTGACCCTGAGTGACCACAGTGACCACTGAGTGACCGCTGACCACTGACCACTGAGTGACCACTGAGTGACCCTGAGTGACCCTGAGTGACCCTGAGTGACCACTGACCCCAAACTGGGACAGGTCATCAAGGGCTGGGACCAGGGCCTGCTGGGGTGAGTGACCACTGACCAACTGACCACTGACCAACTGACCACTGACCACTGAGTGACCACTGAGTGACCCCTGAGTGACCCTGAGTGACCCTGAGTGACCACTGACCCCAAACTGGGACAGGTCATCAAGGGCTGGGACCAGGGCCTGCTGGGGTGAGTGACCACTGACCAACTGACCACTGAGTGACCCCTGAGTGACCCTGAGTGAACACTGAGTGACCACTGACCACTGACCCCTGAGTGACCCTGAGTGACCCTGAGTGACCCCTGAGTGACCACTGACCACTGACCCCTGAGTGACCCCTGAGTGACCGCTGACCTGGGAGCACTGGGACTCTCAGAAATGGGGGAGGGGAAATTCCCAGATTTTGGGGGGAATTCCCGGGATTTTGGGGCTCCAGGATTTTGGGGAGAACTCCCTGGATTTTGGGGGGATTTTTGGGAGGATTTTGGGGGTGAATTCCCTGGATTTTGAGGTGAATTCCCGGGATTTTTGGGGTGAATTCCTGGGGTTTTGGGGTGAATTCCTGGGGTTTTGGGGGTGAATTCCCGGGATTTTGGGGTGAATTCCCGGGATTTTTGGGGTGAATTCCCGGGATTTTGAGGTGAATTCCCGGGATTTTTGGGGTGAATTCCGGGGATTTTGGGGTGAATTCCTGGGGTTTTGGGGTGAATTCCCGGGATTTTGGGGTGAATTCCCAGGGTTTTGGGGCTGGGGGATTTTGGGGTGAATTCCCGGGATTTTGGGGTGAATTCCCGGGGTTTTGGGGCTCCAGGATTTTGGGGTGAATTCCCTGGGATTTTGGGGTGAATTCCCGGGGATTTTTGGGGTGAATTCCGGGGATTTTGGGGTG